GGTGGTGGAGGCTGTGATGGGGGAACGGGCGTCCCGAGCGAGGGGAAAGGTGATTGGGGGCCAACATCCCCTGAAATCTGGTTTGCTGAGCTTAGCCTTGAGGGTATTGACACCAATGCCCGTTTCGTTTGACCTGGTGGCGGGGTGGGAAAGCTGTCTGGTGGACGGAAGGACCATTGGTCTTCATGAGCCGCCCAGTTTTTCCATATCAGCTTTCCGTCATCCCGCACTTCTGCTAGCTTTCCATGGGGATCAATCCACAGCTCCCTGAAGGCCTGGATGGCCTGTTGTTTACTTTCCCTATCCGGGTTCGCAGTCAGAACTTCAACTAATTTCCTGCTGGCTTTCAGCAGGTTTGCCCTGAGGAACTCCACCAGCTCCGCTTTCGCGTGGTGATAGCCAAAGGCGGCTTCTCGGCGTTCCCCTGAGCATCTCATTCGCCATATCACCATGAGTACTGCCAACCGCATATGTCCGAACAGATTTTGTTGGAATGGGGACCAGGCGGTGGGGAAGTTTCTTCTTTTTCCCAAGAGAATGAGTGCAACATCCCAGTGAAACACAGTCCCAATGAGGGCGTGCCACATTGCATCCCACCATTGCCATACCTTTATTGCGGCAGGGCATGCTAACAAACAGTGTTCCAGATCAGCTCTGCGGCTTTCGGTACCAGGCCCACATTGGGAGCAGATAGGAGATAGGGCGCCTGCTTGTTCCAAGCTAGATCTGGAGGTCACCCAATCTGGAGTCGGGAGACAGCGATGCGTGATTTGCCATTACAGGGCTCTATGGGAGGTGGGCATTGTGTGTGCGTAGCTCGTCCATGGAATGTGCCGCAGTTCGTGTGCTCCCACTGGGGAGTCCCTCTTCCATCTCTGTTGAATTATCTGAGTGGATGGGAACAGAACATGGGCCCTCTTATAGCCCTCTTTCGCTGTATATTGCCAAATAGGGGTGGGGTTATGGCCCCCCCATTCCCATTCTTCCGGATCAAAAGGAAGGGCGTGTATAGGGATTGACATTTCATAGGCATAGTATCCTGTATCGTCTGTCCCCACCACTCTGATTCTGGTTAGCTCATCCGCAGCAATCATGCAGTCCATGTGCGGGGCCCTTTTCAGCGCTGCCCACCTTGTCCCTGGCACGTCAGGTTCGTAAGCGTGCGTTGACACGCCCGCTGGTGTAACGTGGGTCACCCTGTAGATGGTCATAGGGATGGGGTTCGTGCTGGCCCGAGTGACCCAGTCCAGGCTGCGCAGCGAAGGGCCCTCCCGTAGGGCTGCCACCCATGGGGGCGGGATCGCCTCTCTAATTTGTTTGATCTTATCATGAACATTTCGTACCCCTTTTAGCGTTGGTTGCAATTGCTGAGCAGTCTTCCATGTCCCTGTTTGACTGTCCCACAGATCCACAATTGCGAATATGCCTTTTCTCACCCATGTGAGCCAATGGGAGCCAGTGGACAGGGCGAAGGAGTGGCCAGCATTGTCACATATGTGTGGGTTCCCGAAAAGTGGTTGTCGCAGGATTTCTTCTGTCCTGTTCGGGGGGGATCTTTGGTTTGGGCCCATCTTCCTCCACAGGCCTAGCATTGTTATCCACAGCGGGTCGTGTTGGAGGTCCCATGTGACGTTATTTCGAGTGGATCCATCCCTCTTGTGTCTCAGTGGGCTTGGTATAGACCAAGCCTTATTTGTCAGCCAGCTCAGGGGGTGAATCGGGCAATGAGAGGGAGTAGGCGGTGCGAGGTTAGCCAGCTGCATGTAAGCGAGGGGGAGCCATGGGAGGTCGTTGGCCAGCAGGAGGCGGATGATAATTTTGAACATCAGGGCTTTGATTTCGTCACCAGGGTCCAATATGCCAAGGCCTCCCACACGCTTAGGTTGGGTGACAAGTTTCCACGCAACCCTTTTGATGCAACTCGTGTTGTTGTGGTCGTTTTTCCAGAGATAAGCTGACAGGGCTGACCTCAGGAGCGCTAGTTGCGTCCCARGGATTTCCCAGAATGCAGTTTTATACCAGATGGATGCAAGGATTGCGTTGTTTATCGCGAGTGCCCTCCCTACTAGCGAAGTATGGAGCCCATCCCATTTAGCTACTCTGTGCAGGGCTATCTGGACCAGCGCCTGACCATGATCCGATGGCGGGCCTAACGCTGTCAGGCGGATCCCCAAGATTGTGATTACTTCTTCTTTTTGCCTCCAATTGACCGCGGGGTATTGTGGGGGATGTGTGTCTTGCGGGGACAACCACCATCCTTCC